ACAATAGATAATTTTTGCCAATAAATTAAACGAAAAAAGAAATTAAATCAACAAAAGCTAATTTAAAGTAAAAAATTTAAATTATGAAATGAGAAAATCAATTACACTAAATCATATAATAACACAAGATCACTAATGACATTCTATAAACCGCACAAAAACATAGTCTTGAAGAAGATCGAGAAATTAAAGAGCTAAAATTTAAAGTAATCATAATGTTACAATAATAATGAAAAGCATTAATTGGATCTTGAATTAATCACACAACGAGTTGGATGACAAGTTTGACGACAAGTTTGATAAGTTGGACGATTTCACGTAACTTACGTAAGTTAAAAAATTTATTTGTCTATTAACTTATCCTGGGATAATACCGAAAAAAAGCTCGACCTTGCCCGTGATTTGTAATTTTATATTATCAAAATTTTTAACCTTTAATGCAGAGCAACTTTATTATAGATCTGGCTGGCACTAAACTTATGCATTTGTAACTTGCATAGAATCATCTAACCTAAAATGTATATTATTATGCAGTTAAGTTAGCCCAACCCTAGCCTAAGATTTTCTACGTGCCGCCATTGGATACTTGTGTCACAACAAATCTCGCTCAGACTTTGCATTCATAATATGTAAATTTAATATATTGACTCTATATATGCTAGTATTTTACATGTTATTTATCCGACGATGGTACTATGCAAACAATCAAATATGTTAAGAATTCTACGGAATTTTTAATACAGGTTCTCGAACATGTAGGGATTGTTACTTTAGAAGGTGAATAAATCTACGGAATTTTTTAATGCAGGAGTCTCGAACATGTAGGGGCTAACATACACAAAATAGAAATTCTATATCGATATGTACGATATGTACAGTGCTTAAATCTTGAATGATCTACACGAACATTCTATATTTAATCAAACTTTTTATATAAATTAACCGAATTCGCCAACCATTTATTCAGTCAAGAAGCATTTTAATTAAGTTCATAATGTATAATGAAGAAAACTCTTCAAATACTAATAGTAATCTATCTACAGAATTGTCTATAGACTTTACCCAAGATCAAACTAATATAAGTTTACCAAACTTATATAATAATCGTCCATGGAATGGTCTACAAAATTTAATCAAGACCAAACTAATAATAATGATCTAACTACAGAATTATCTACAGATTTTACCCAATATCAAACTAATATAAGTTTGCCAAACACTTATAATAATCCATCCATAGAACGATCCACAGACTTTAGTCAAAATCAACCTAATAATAATCTTTTTACAGAATGGACTACGGGTACCACAGATTTTACTAATAATTCATCATTTACGCCATACCAAATTACTACAAATTTACTAAATATTTTCAAAAATTCGATTATAGAATTACCCGTAGGCATTGCTCAAAATAATGAGGATCAAACTAATTACAATTTATCTACAGAACAGACCGCATGCTTTACTCAAGATCAAACTAATACAGATTCGCCAAATATTCATAATTCAGAAATTACTCAATATCATGAAAATAATACTTTACCACAATATAATGCAAAATCAGTTAAAGAAAATAAGCGCCCAGTTTCACTTGTTTCTAGGCGTAAAAAATATATAAGTAAAAAGTGCAAGACATGTAATTTCAAAAGATCTCACTATGATGAAAATTCTAATCAATGTAAATATTGTTATCGGGCCTCATTACGAGTCTTGAGTGGTAATAAATTAATTGACAATTTTATTGAATCAACGCAAACCTTTTATCGAAACTGTAAACATAACAAAAAATTAGAATTTATTCCGTATGACCAATTTATTAATATTGAATATCTTGCTAAAGGAGGCTTTAGTAAAATATATAAAGCAACATGGGTTGATGGGCCTATTTCTCGTTGGAATCCTAAAAAGCAAGAATATGGCCGAAAAAAAAATTATGAGGTTGCGCTTAAAATTCTTAATAATTCTAATAAAATGGATTCTGATTATTTAAATGAGGTTTGTATATAAAATTATATTAAAATTATATTTATAGATTTATGATTAAATTTAAATAATTTTAATTTTTTGAATTTAAAAACTTATTATTTTAGTTGAAAAACTTTTTTTATTGTGCAAAAAAATATAGATGCCATGTTAATCTCCATCAATATATTGGCATTACGCAACATCCTGAAACAAAAAATTATATAATAGTTTTAGAATTTGCGCAAAATAGGGACCTACATCAATTTTTAAATAAAAGCGCAAATTCATTATCTTGGATAGAAAAATTAAAACTATTACAGAACATTTCACTTGGACTTGGATATGTACATTTAAATAAATTTATTCATCGTGACTTTCATAGCGGTAATATTCTTATAGACCAGAATAATATTCCAGCAATTACAGATTTAGGAATAAGCAAACCAATAAATGCATCGTCAGATGAGAATGCAGTCTATGGAGTTATTCCGTATGTTGCACCAGAAGTATTAAAAGGAGGAAAATTTACACAAAAATCAGACATTTATAGCTTTGGCATGATTATGTGGGAGGTAATAAGTGGCAGCAGGCCATTTTCTGATCGTAAACATGATGAACATCTTATTCTAGATATTCTTAATGGTCTTCGCCCCAAAATTCCAATTGATATTCCACACGAATTAGTTAAATTATTAATGGAAAGTTGCTGGCATTCAGATCCGGACAAAAGAATTGATCTCAGTTCTTATTGGTTGAATCTTTATGAAATTATTAAAAAAGCAGAAGGAGGTGAAATAAAATTTCCAGAAAATAAAAGTGCAACTATTTTACCACCTAAAATGAACGAACAAGGAATTTATTCCAGTCGACTATTAACACCGTTAATTAGTAAAGCATTGACTTTGCAAAGTATGAAACTAAATAGCAACATAATTACTGGTGAGAAAATATATTGTATGAAGATAATGCGTATTTTTAATTTTAAATACTGTATAAACTAGTATTAATAAGGTTTATAACAATCAATTGTTTAGACATTCCAACGGTAATAATGCAAAAACTAAACGGTAACCAAACAGATGATGATTCTAAAGCGATTGAATTTGATATAAACAAATTATAAATAGAATGCAGGCCTTTTGACAACAACAAATTTGGATCATTCATTCAAACCTAAAAGTTCAATTCTTATTAGCTATAGATTCTTGTGGATATTTTCTTTTTGATAATTTTTAACAGGACCTTTTAAATTTTTTAAATTTTTTTTTAAAAATCTCACGTATATATAAATAATAGTAGATGAATTATATAATGTTAGTAAAATTTTTCGTTTTATCAATTAATATATTTTTTGGTTCTGCAAGTTCCCGACAGGGTACTCAACCTTCGCTGGTATTATATTATTGTGCCTGGCACTTACATTGACCCTAATATGTATTTTATTAAATTAACAAAGCATAAACACAACTATAATTAATTAAACTTTAAAAAAATAATGAATATTATACACAGTGTTTATTTTGAATATTTTTTTTTATAAAGAATAAAATATTTTGGAAAACATTAAAATTATTTTTCGAAATGCATATTTGCATAGATATTCAACCCCATTATTACAGTATATTTAAATCAATTATGATATAAATTTTAGCCAGAAACAATATATTTGATAGCGTTTTATCAATAACACATATATAAGATATACAATTTAGTATAATATAAATGGTATTCTATTCGATAGCTCAATGAGTTTCATTCAAGCTTCTCTGAATAGGGCCTTGATTATCTAACTGTTCCAATTTGCTATAGTAACTAAAATAGTTACATAAACCATCTTGATAACGATATACTTACAATAATGATGAAAAGTATTAATTAGATCTTGAATTAAGGTAAGAGGTAGGAGTCTGATATGAAGAAGTCAATTCACACAATGAGTTTGATGACAAGTTTGATAAGTTGGACGATTTCACGTAACTTACGTAAGTTAAAATTTTTATTTGTCTATTAACTTATCCTGGGATAATACCGAAAAAAAGCTCGACCTTGCCCGTGATTTGTAATTTTATATTATCAAAATTTTTAACCTTTAATGCAGAGCAACTTTATTATAAATCTGGCTGGTATTAAACCTATACATTGTAACTTACATAGAATCATCTATCTTTAAAATGTATATTATGTTACAGTTAAGTTAGTCCAACCCTAGCCTAAGATTTTCTACGTGCCGCCATTGGATACTTGTGTTACAACAAATCTCGTGTAATTTCGCTCAGACTTTGCGTTCATAATATGTAAATTTAATATATAGACCCTATATATGCTAGTATTTTGCATGTTATTTATCCGACGATGGTACTATGCAAACAATCAGACAACAGTAAATATGTTAAGAATTTTTAATACAGGTTCTCGAACATGTAGGGATTGTTACTTTTGAAGGTGAAGAAATCTACGGAATTTTTTAATGCAGGAGTCTCGAACATGTAGGGGCTAAGATACACAAAATAGAAATTCTATATCGATATGTACAGCGCTTAATACACGAACTAGAACATTCTATATTGAATTAAAAATTTTATATAAATTAACCAAATTCGCCAACCATTTATTCAGTCAAGAAACATAATTTTTAATTTTATTAATAACGCATTTTAATTAAGTTCATAATGTATAATGAAGAAAACTCTTCAAATACTAATAGTAATCTATCTACAGAATTGTCTATAGACTTTACCCAAGATCAAACTAATATGAGTTTACCAAACTTATATAATAATCCATCTATGGAATGGTCTACAAAATTTAATCAAGACCAAACTAATAATAATGTTCTAACTACAGAATTATCTATAGATTTTACCCAATATCAAACTAATATAAGCTTGCCAAACACTTATAATAATCCATCCATAGAACAGTTCACAGACTTTAGTCAAAATCAACCTAATAATAATCTTACAGAATGGACTACAGATACTATAGATTTTACTAATAATTCACCATTTATGGAATGGGGTTCAGGCTTTACGCCATATCAAATTAATACAAATTTGCTAAATATATTCAAAAATTCTATTATAGAATTACCCGTAGGCGTTGCTCAAAATAATGAAGATCAAATTAATCATGATCTATCTATAGAACAGACCGAATTCTTTACCCAAGATCAAACTAATACAAATTCGCTAAATATTCATAATTCAGAAATTACTCAATGTCATGAAAATAATACTTTACAACAATATAATGCAAAATCAGTTAAAGAAAATAAGCGCCCAGTTTCACTTGTCTCTAGGCGTAAAAAATATACAAGTAAGAAGTGCGAGAAATGTAATCTCCGAAAACCTCATTATGATGAATATTCTAACCAATGTAAAGATTGTTATCGGGCCTCATTACGGGTCTTGAGTGGTAATAAATTAATTGACGATTTTATTGAATCAACGCAAACTTTTTATAAAAACTGTACACATAAAAAAAAAATTAGAATTTATTCCGTATAACCGATTTATTAATATTGAATATCTTGCTAAAGGAGGCTTTAGTGTAATACATAAAGCAACATGGGTTGATGGGCCTATTGCTCGTTGGAATCCTAAAAAGCAAAAATATGGCCGAAAAAGAAATTTTGATGTTGCTCTTAAAGTTCTTAATAATTCTAATAAAATGGATTCTGACTATTTAAATGAGGTTTGTAGATTAAATTATACTTAAAATTATATTTATATGATTTATGATTAAATTTATAGTTTAATTTTTTGAATTTAAAAACTTATTATTTTAGTTGAAAAACTTTTTTCATTGTATAAAAAACGAAGCTAAACGTGATGTCAAAAATGTCCATCAATATATTGGGATTACGCAACATCCCGAAACAAAAAATTATATAATAGTTATAGAATTTGCGCAAAATAGGGACCTACATCATTTTTTAAATAAAAACGCAAATTCATTATCTTGGATAGAAAAATTAAAACTATTACAGAACATTTCATACGGACTAGAACGTGTACATAGAAATAAATTTATTCATCGTGACTTTCATAGCGGTAATATTCTTATTAGCCAGAATAATGTTCCATCAATTGCAGATTTAGGAATAAGCAAACCAATAGATGCGTTGTCAGATGAGAATGCAATCTATGGAGTTATTCCGTATGTTGCACCAGAAGTATTAAAAGGAGGAAAATTTACACAAAAATCAGACATTTATAGCTTTGGAATGATTATGTGGGAGGTAATAAGTGGCTGTAGGCCATTTTCCGATCGTAAACATGATGAACATCTTATTCTAGATATTCTTAATGGTCTTCGCCCAAAAATTCCAATTGACATTCCACACGAATTAGTTAAATCAATAGAAAATTGCTGGCATCCAGATCCGGACAAAAGAATTAAAGACGATTCATATTATTGGGGATTGAGTAATCTTAGTGAAATCATTAATAAAGCAGAAGGAGGAGAAATAAAATTTTCAGAAAATAAAAGTGCAATTATTTCACCAAATAAAATGAACGAACAAGGAATTTATTCCAGCCGACCATTAACACCGTTAATTAGTAAAGCATTGACTTTACAAAGTATGAAACTAAATAGCAACGCAATTACAGGTGAGAAAATATATTGTATGAAGATAATGTGTATTTTTTATTTTAATACTGTATAAACAAGTATTAATAAGGTTTATAACAATCAATTATTTAGACATTCCAACGGTAATAATGCAAAAACTAACAGATTTTGATTCTAAAGCGATTGAATTTGATATAAACAAACCATAAATAGATATCAACTTTTTGACAATAAGAAAGTTTCTAATAAGCAATTATATTTCTCAAATTTGTATCATTCATTCAAAACTGAGAATTCAATTTTTTTGTTAACTATAGATTTTTGTCAGAGGCTTATATTTATTGGATATTTTCTTTTTGGTAATTTTTAGCAGGAACTTCTTTAAATATTTTAATTTTTTTTTTAAATTTTCACGTATATAAATTATAGTAGATGAATTATATAATGTTAGTAAAATTTTTCGTAATCAATTAATATATTTTTTGGTTTCGCAAGTTCCCGACAGGGTACTCAACCTTCACTGGTATTATATTATCGTGCCTGGCACTTACATTGACCCTAATATGTATTTTATTAAATTAATTAAAC